TGGAGGGGGGATGGAGGGGTGGGGAGACGGTGCCAGGAGAGGAGAAGCAGCTCAAGAAAGAAAACAGCAGTGTCGGGAGGCTCTCGGGACGGCTGCAGATTGGATGTCCTTAGGATGACCTCAGTTGGTGCCTGGGAGTGGAACCATCCAAGGAGAAGGTGGGGTGGGGAGAGATGTGAGGAACAGCACTGAGGAGTCCTTGGAGGAGAGATGGGGAGCTGTAAGGCCGGGTGGAGCACAGGGGAGTCCTGTGGTCAGGGAAGGTGTGGGTAACAGCAGCAGGCAGCTCCCAACCAACTCCCTGACTAAGGAGAGAAAAGTAACATCTGGACCCTTAGACATCGTAGTCCAGTGGTTGGCTAAGTGGATGGAAGTTGGAGGCTGTGGGTGGGTGGGACCTTCAGGAAGAAGGCCTAGAAGAAGTAGGAAGAAAGAAAAATCTCCAGAAACAAATACAGTGTAGATATAAAGGCCTTTTAAAGATGGTTTTGTTCATCGTTAAAGTGTGTCCTAGCGGTGCCTGTGTGCTGGGCATCCTTCTGGACACGTCACTCCTGTGGTAACTCATTCCTTCCTCGTGTCAGCTCTAAGACAGGAGCTGTCTCTACCCTAAGCACACAGAGGTTAAGGAAAAACTGCCCTGTGGGCAGCAGAGCCCTTCTTTAAACCCAAGCGATTTGGATCCTGAGTCCTTGTTCCTAGTCCCGAATACCGTGTTCACTGTGTTTTATTTGAGCAATAAAAACATTTTGCTAGCTAGCCTGCTGCTGAAGACTCGTAATCCTGGCACTTGGGAATTGGAACCAGGAGGAGTAGAATCAAGGTCATCCTCAATGTAATGAGTTCCAGGCTAGCCTGAGCTACGTGAAACTGTGTCACAGAACAAAACACAACACACTTCCCTTCTTCCCACGCACTCAGAAAAGAATACCAAGGAGAAACTTAAGTCTAAAACAGAGGGAAAACATAGAGTTATTCATAAATAAGATAACTGTTGAAGAATACACTACCATGTGCTGGGCTCTGCTCTACTAAGAATTGCCAGTAAAAGAAGGAAAAATTAAAGATAAAAAAAAAAGTCCTCTGGCTGGCGAGGTGGCTCAGCAGATAAAGGCACTTGCTACCCAGCCTGAGCAGCAGAGCTGGATGCTAAGAACCCACATGGTCAAAGAAGAGTACCGACTTCAGGAAACTGTCCTCTTCCTACAGCACATGCGAGAGCACACACACTAAATAAATAAAACAACCAAAGCCCACCTCAGCCCGAGGGAAAGGAAAGAAGAAAACAAGCAAAATCAGCGGGTAAATTATAAACAGTGAGGCGAGAGATAGGTTCAAGACCTCCAGCGGGTTCTGAAAGGATTCTACCCAACCTGATGTTTTTCTGCTTGTTCTCCTAGTATGTGGCTCTCAGCAACCTCAGCAAATCTTTTTTATTCTTTCCCTGTTTAGCTGAGACTTCTCTTTGCAGCTGTCAATTTGCTCCAATCGCCTCTCCTGGTGCTCAAAGGCCACATTAAAAACACGGGTTACAGGAATGCACGTGCTGAGATGCCCCCACAGTCACCCTGAAAACCAAGACAATTACTAAGTGATTAATATTGCACTACTCAGCACAAAGTGCAGTTTAAAGAGCATGAATCACTTATTTCTAGAAATTTCCATTTAATATTTTAGGACCACAATTGACAGTGGGTAACCAAAACTGCAGAATTGCACTTTTATGGATAAAGGGAATTGTTAGGAAAATTAGAATGCAAGAAGGCAACAGAAAACAGAGGTACTCCGATGGGAGGAGGACCCGAGGGGAAGTCAGGAGTGTGGCTTTTGGTCAAGTTGTTGAAGATGAGCAGGAACAGGTCAGGAGTTGGAAGGAGCGCTCCAGGCTAAAGGCTGGAACAAGGGTGCAGAGACAGGTGGTGCTGGACCCTTCACCTCCTCAAGTTCAGCTCTTTCACTTCCTTATCCCTCTCTTCCCCTGGAGACCTGGTACAGATAAAGTTTTAGCTCTGTTACTAGGCAGCATTGCTTATGATATAAATGACCACTGATTGATCAGCTTGTCTAAGCTAAAAGAGCAATAAATGCCTGATGGGGAGCCATATTGTTGGACTTCTGTGTTTTGGGGGAACATTTGTGTAAGCAGAGGTATAGACTGCTCTGTCGTATATGCCTGATGAGAGGGGGAGGGGGGGATGCTCAGAAGGCAGTGTGGACCACTCCACTGACAGTTGTGTGGATGCCCTGTCAAGGGCAAAGCTGTGCGTGCAAGCTGTCACTCTACTCCTGTCTAAGCGATTCCAGTACCATGCGAGGCTTATACATTATATAGTCTGGAGAGAAGGTAAACCTGGGAAGTCCCTGTGGTGACCCCAGCAGGCAAGGGTTTCCTTGGCCTATTACAGGAAAAGCTGTCACCCGAAAGGCGGAGCAGGCAGGTCCTGTAGAGCTTGGTCAACTTCTGGAAGGTGACTTTGCTCAAAGGAGACAGGACCCCCTTGGACCGTTCTGAGCAGAGGGTTTCATGAGGTGGTATTATTTGTCTGTCTGTCTGTCTATTCATCTATCTATCATCTGTCTCTATCAATTGATCGATCAATCTATCTACCTATGTATTTATTTATTTTGGTTCTTTTGAAACGGGGTCTCACTATGTAGCCCTGGCTGTCTTGGAACTCACTCTGCAGACCAGACTGGCCTTGAACTCATAGAGATCTGCCTGCCTCTGCCTCTGCCTCTGCCTCTGCCTCCCCAGTGCTGGGATTAAAGGTGTGCACCATCATGCCTGGCATGAGGTAGTATTTTAACAAGACCACTCCAGCTGTGGAAAATCAGTGTAGGCCAAGGCAAGGTGGCATGCTTATAATCTCAGCACCCAAGAGGCAGATGGGTCACTAGCCCAAGGCCAAGAAGCAAGTTCCGGACCAGCCGGAGCTACACGGTGAGAGTGCCTTGTAAACCCAAGCCCTAGAGGAGCAGCTTGCGCATGTCTAGATATAACCCCCAGGAGAGAGTGAGCAAGACTGAGGCACTTCGCTTGGGAATGAGAGGGAACATTCAGTACAGGTGCAAAGGAGGGGATGTATCGCTGGATTACTTGGAAGGCCAGTACAGTGGTCCAGAGACTAATTTAGTGCCTCAGACCAGGCTGGAAACGGTAGCTCTGGATGTACTGAGGGAGCCTACCAATGGTTTCTGGGTGATTGAATGTCAAATGTGAGAGAAAAAACAGTGGAGATGTCTCTAAGGTTTTCAGACCTGAGCAACTAGAAAGGTTTGGTTTGGAGCATGTTACATTTAAGATATGTGTTAACCCCCCGGCTGTGATATTGAGTGCTCAGGTGGGTATATAAAGGGTAGCCATGGACTGATGGAGGCAGATGCAGAGACCCACAGCTGAACAACATTAGGCAGAGATCAAGAATCCTGCAGAGGAGGAGGGAAAAGGAGGAGCCGGAGGGGTCAAGGACACCACAGGAAGGCTCACACAGTCAACTAACCTGGCCTCATACGGGCTCGCAGAGACTGAGCCAACAACCAGGGAGCCTGCATGGGACTGACCTAGGCACTCTGCATATATGTTACAGTTGTGTAGCTTGGTCCTCTTGTGGGACTCCGAACAATGAGAACATGGGCTGCCTCTGACTCTTTTATTGACTTTTGGGACCCTACTTCTCATACTGGACCTTGTCCAGCCTTAATATATGGAGAGGGACCCTACTTCTCATACTGGACCTTGTCCAGCCTTAATATATAGAGAGGTGCTTAGTCTTACTGCAAATTGACATGCCATGTTTTGTTGATACTCATAGGAGACCTGCCCTTTCCTGGATGGAGACAGAAAAGGTGGAGATTGGGGGGGAATGGGAGAGAGGGAATGAGAGGGGAAAATGGGGGGGCTGCAGCTGGGATGTAAAATAAATAGATGAATATATATATATTCAAGAAGGGGGGGC